TCTTGGAATTGACATGGGACTTGGGTGTGGTGTTCTCTGTGCTGTACTGATGGTTGTTCTACCTTCATCAAGGTACTTACGTAATTAAACACTGACCTACGATGGCCAATAAGAAACAAGTTGCTGCAAATAAGAAACGAGTTACTGCAAATAAGAAACCAGGTTGCTGCAAATAAGAAACGAGTTGCTGCAAATAAGAAACGAGTTGCTGCAAATAAGAAACGAGTTGCTGCATATAAGAAACGCGTTGCTGCAAATAAGAAACGAGTTGCTGCAGATGAGAAATGATTTGCTGCATTTTAGACGAGTTGCCGATTATGAAAAAGGAGTTCTCGCAAAAAAAAAAAGACAAGTTACTGCAAATAAGAAACGAGTCGCTGCATGATAAGCATATCGCACACAGTTTGCCGAATCAGACTGAGGATCTGCTTAGTTTAATTTTCGACGATTTCTCAACTAGGACAAATTCTAATCAATTTAAGTATTCTATTTAGAGTCTCCTACGCCGCTTCTTGCTTAGATTTCAATAGGGCGTGTTTATCTTTCCTCGGCACAGAATGCGAAAGACTCCCTTACTTTTAAGCATGCCTGGGTTGAATGATGAGTGTCAGTTTTAATTTTTCGACGCTTTCTCAACAAAGCTACTAAGCCTATAGGGTAGACCATTCGTGATGGGATAGTTCCTATATTTCTAAAACTCTTTGTTGCATTGCTTACTATTTTTCAGTCCAAAATACTCTATCCTTGGCCATGTTCGAGGAACAGATATCTTCAAGGACATCATCGCCTATCCTCATGTAAGTTTTAATCATTCATGAGTCGTTCCAAGGTTGAGGGGAAAACTGGGTCGACAATGCATAGCAAATAAGAAACGAGTTGCTACAAATAAGAAACGAGTTACTGCAAATAATGAACGAGGTGCTACGAATAAGAAACGAGTTGTTGCAAATAAGAAAGCCTTTTTTTTATCGAGAAGGTCCTTTCATTGGATTTGAACTCCATTTGACCATCACTATTTCACACCCAGTGAAAGGACCTTGGATTTAATCGCCGTCAGGTCCGAAGTCCATACGCCGCCATACGCGGGGGTATTTTTCATTTTAAAATCTTTTTCTTTTCTTTTGTGTTATTTCTTTTTCTTTGCCTTTTTGTTTTGCCTTTTTGTTTTGCCTTTTTGTTTTGTTATTTTCATTTCTTTCTTTTTTGGGGGATTCGTAGACCTTTTTTGTTTTCTTTTGTTTGTTGTTCGTTTATTATTCATTTACAAACCCACTGATGACATAGTCTCTATTGGACAAATAATAATAATAATAATTCTGACAAGGGAACAAAATATATAAACATGTTTTATGCTGTATTAACACATGAGACACCGTGCTTAGTAACTAGTTTTGGATGGAAGGACCTGCATAAAATAAAGATAAATCTAATATGATAAGAATAAAAGGTAATGTGTTGGTTTGATATTTGATTTTTTAATTTCACAGGCTTGTGAACTTCAGGGAATCAAGATCCTTCGCTTCGAGTCATCACTGTATTACGTTAACACTGAGTATTTCAAGAGTCTTGTACAGTCTATCACGTCTGTAGGGAGCTCCTTTGAACGACGTGATCATGAGAAGAAGAAGGAGTACGATAAACTAAATGGAAACGTAGTGAACTGCAGGTCTAAAGTACTAATGGAACAAGAGGATTGCAGTAGTGATGAGGTAGACTTGTCATTTTCTGGACCAGAAGTTTCATTCATTCATTTGCGCACTCCATTCTTAGTCAATCGTCCGATCGGTTGGTCGGTCCGTCAGACAGTCGCTCGCTCAGTCATAATTCTCTCAGTTAGTCAGTCAGTCGGTGGGTTGGTCAGCGTGTTAGCCAGGATGCCTGTTTGTACTTACTTGCGCA